AACAGAGGAACGAAGGACGAGACGCGCGCCTTGTTCACTAGTTGGGCCGAGTTTAAGAAAGAGATGGGACACATCTTTAGGGAAGTGGATGCTTAGAACCAGGCAGAGAAAGCGATAACTCGCCTGAAGCAGACCAGTTCAGTATCAGCGTACACAGCCGAGTTTAAGCAGCTACAGGCACGAATCGACTAGGACGACGCAGCACTTCGAACGGTGTTCGAAGCAGGTCTGAAGGAAAATGTTAAAGACGGACTTATACATCACGACAAACCAAACACGCTTCATGCGCTGATCGAGTTAGCGACACGCATTGATAATAGGCTGTGGGAAAGAAACTGACAAAAGAAACAATTTCAACCCACGGTGGCCAACACAAGGAGGCAGCGTAGCCGGTTCGACAAAGATGGCGACACCATCATGACCGGTAAGGTACAAGACAAGTCCAAGGACAAGAATAAGAAACCCCAAGGACAGTATAATGACGGACTCTCCACGGAAGAACGCAAGAAGCGTTATAACAGCAAGGTATGTCTCCGATACGGTAAAGTAGGACACTTCCGCAGAGATTGCCCAAAAAACGAAGTCAGACAAGGAGCGGTCAAGATTGGGATAATTCGGATACCAACACCATACCCAACTAAGGAGCCAGATGAAACCCTCAGCGACCTAGACCTGTACGAAGAAGCAAGATAAGCCACCAACGAGGCGTTTAAGCTAGTACAAGAGGCAATAGGACTCCAAGACTTCAAGTAGGACGCACCACTACCAACGGATTGGCAGATTGAAGGGGCCGAAGTACTACGCCGCCTAAGAAATCAACAGTGCTAGATCTGCGGACTAACCACGCACTAAGCCAACGATTGCGACTGCAATAGAAGAGTCACAATCTCGGGACCCCAAGCAGATAAGATTGCCTGCAGGGCTGCCCAGGAACAACCCAGGTTCAAGGAACCTGATGACGAGGAGACACCTCGGACGTTCAAGGAACGGATGGAGCAACACGAGCGCCTATATTAGGTCGACTGCCCAAGACAGTGTGATTACCACTTAAGGAAGCGAGAAGAAACCAGAGACAACGAGGACGATTGCTGCCATACCAATTTATGGCATAACGAGTGTCGCGTACAGCATTGCCACATGCACCAGCCCAGAGAAAAGGAAGCTCACGAAGAGTTGTGCTAGATCAAGTGCACGATCAATTGCTAATTCCACAAGGAACAGCGACGGAAAGCTAGAAGGGTAGACGACTACTACTATAGCACGATTTCCGCCGAAGAATGCATAGCAAAGAACTGCAGAATGCATAGGGCCCAAGTACGGGAAACGCCAGTAGAGCACAGTAAACTCCTATGGACGCATTGCAGGAAAGGTTGTGCTATACACTAATAACAGTTCGAGAATGCTCAACAGGTAGACAACCACTACTATAGCATCCTACCAGCGAACATTTGTAAGGCAAAGGATTGCCCGATTTACAAAAGTAAGAAGCCGGAACTAAGGAAGAGGGCCACGCAATAGAAGATACCTTATAAGAATATCCATTAGAGCTTCTGCTACAACAATCAGTATACGATACACTATTCCGCCAAGGCAGGCGAAGGCTACTTCCCAAAGAAGAAGGGAAGCAGGCAGTTAAAAAACTAGGATGCCACCAGGGACAGGGTCACGCTGGCAAAGGCAGTCCTAAAACGACTCTTAAGTAAGTATAGGAAGTAGGAGCAAAAGAGTTGCAATTGAAAGCTACAGTACTTATAGACGGACATAAGGTGTTAGCGCTCATAGATAGTAGGGCAGCACGAACCGTCATATCTCCACGAGTAGTGGAAGGAAACAACATACCCTATCGGAACAAGAAGGTACCGATGCGAGTGGTATTAGCCGACGATAGTTCTACGACATACGGGAACGGCTGGATCCGACTTAAGACTGAGGCAGTAACGTTACGCCTAGCCGGTTAAGAAAGCTGAGAAAAGATTAGCATTATAGATCTTAGAGAGACCGAGATGATAATTAGCTACGATTGGTTGTTAAAGCACAACCCTGCCATCAATTAGCAAAAGAAGACAGTACTCAGCCGAGAGCCTGTGCACAAGGTTGCTGGAGTAAGACATGAGACACGCCCGACGAATTAGCGCGCAACCTAGGACGGGAGATTCGGCATGATCTCACCGCATAAGATCGCGAGAATCTATGCGAAGGACTCTTAGAGAGTAGGAGTCATTTGGATACGGCAGATCGCGACCACGAAGGAAGGATCGGTACTATAGTTGGCGATTCTAATAGAATACCAAACGGACGAGTTTAGAGAACTGTTTGAAGAAAATAAGGCAACAGACCTAGCAGACTATCAGGATTAGGATCACGAGATCATTCTTGATGAAGGAGCTAAGTTGAGCCCAGGACTAATGTACCCTATAGCGCCCGAGCACAACGCTGAGCTGCGGGATTACATTCAGAAGAACTTGAAGAAGGGATTTATCCGACCGGGATCAGACCCGATGGCCTCACCTATCTTATTCGTAAAGAAACCTAACGGGAAGTAGCGACTATATGTTGACTTTAGAAGGTTGAACAGCGTAACTTAGAAGAACTAATATCCCTTACTACTTATTACAGAGCTTATGGATCGACTCTAGGGAGCTAAGTGGTTTACGAAGTTCGATGTTTAGGAAGGATTTTACCGAATTAGGATTAAAGAAGGTTACAAATAGATGATAGCGTTTAAAACGAAGTACGGACTCTTTAAGTACACGGTTATGCCGTTCGGATTGACGAATACGCCGGCAACCTTTCAATTAGTTATTAACAACGCTCTCCACGAGTACCTTAGAATCTTTGTCACCGCGTATCTAGACGACGTACTAGTGTACTCTAGCGGCACACGCGAAGAACATGTTGAGTATGTTAAGAAGGTTTTACGAAAGCTTAAGGAATACAAGCTATACCTTTAACTAGGAAAATATGAATTCCACACATAGGAAACGGAATTTCTCGGATTCATTATATTAACCGAAGGAGTAAAAATGAACCTAAAGAAGATACAGACTGTATAGGAATAGCCAAAACCTAAAATAGTTAAGGATATTTAGTCCTTTTTAGGATTTGCGAATTATTATCGAAAGTTTATTAGAGATTACTCAAAGATTACAGCACCCCTTACGGAAGTAACGAAAAAGGAAATAGGTTTCAAATAGGAACAGGAACATTAAGAGGCTTTCGATTAAATTAAGCAGATATTCCTGGAGGCGCTAGTACTTGAGATGTATAGCCCTTAACGACCTACTAGAGTCGAGACCGACGCGTCCGACTATGCACTCGGAGCTGTATTATCACAGCAGTGCCTAGATGGAAAATGGAGACTAGTGTTCTACTATTTACGGAAGTTCTCTGGAGCAGAACTTAACTACGATATTTACGATAAGGAACTACTTGGAGTAGTCGATGCCTTTGAATAATAGGAAGTGTACCTACTAGGACTCCCCAAACAGATCGAGGTTTTTACTGATTACTAGAACTTGACGAGTTTTATGATAACGAAAAAACTCAACCGACGACAAGTGTGATAGGTAGAGATGCTAGCCTAGTTCGACTTCAAGATCACGCACCGCGTAGGAACACTCAACGGAGCAGTAGACGCTTTAAGTAGAAGATCTGATTTGCGCGAAGAGGGTTATAAAGAACTATATGACGCCTTACTTAAGATAATGCCCGATGGCAGTCTGAAGTACAACCAGCCAGAACTAGCTAAGGTAGCTAAGGTGGCCGAGCAGGTAGAAACGCTACAATAGTAATGGCAGCAGCGAGCAGCCAGCTAGCAGTTCGAGCCCAACGAAGCAGGCTCCGACGAACTGTTGAACGATGAACGAGAGTACCGAGATATGATTTCAAAGAATTAAACATATGTACCTCCACGCATAAGATCGAGTCTTATATAGGAACTGCATGAGTCCTAGGAATACGGACACGCAGGGATCGAAGAAATGGTTAGACGACTAGCTAAGGTGTTTGCGATACCACGCTTGTGAGCGAAGGTGCAGGAAGCACTAGGCAACTGTTTGGCATATCACTAGAACAAGCCCAAGAGACATAAGCCCTACGGCCTGTTACAACCCTTACAGCCACTATCTAGACTATGGACAAGTGTAATGATGGACTTTATAGTGAAGCTCCCGAAATCGTTGGAACTAGGATTAGCTTGATTTTGCGACACAATACTAGTAATCGTGGACCGATTAACTAAGATAGCAAAGTTTGTGCCCACGGAAGAGACTATTACGGCAGATGAATGCGCGTACGAAGTCACTAAGGCACTAGTGTCAGAGCATGGGATACTTGAAGAGTTCATCACCGATCGTGATAAACTATTTACGTCTAAATACTAGAGTATATTCCTGGCGAAGTTAGGTGTTAAGAAGAAGCTTTCGACAAGCTTTTATCCAGAAACAGACGGCCAGACGGAAAGAACGAACTAGACATTAGAGCAGTACTTACGGATGTACGCCAACAAATTGCAGGATAACTAGGTAGAGTTACTACCAACAGCGCAATTGGTCTACAACAGTACAAAATTAGTAACGACAAAGTATTCGCCGCACTACGCGAACTACGGATATGAGCCGACCGCTCACTGAGATCCGAAGGACATTGAAAGTATCGCGGTAGGAGCAGACGACAAGGCGAAGCTCATGCGAGAATTGCACGAAGAATTAAGTAAGAACATAGCTTAACGAAACCTCACGACATCTAAAGCAGCGAATAAACTAAGGATTAAGGGACTAATCTTTAAGAAGGGGGACAAAGTTTTCTTGTTAAGACAAAACCTGAAAACTAAACGACTATATAGAAAATTAGACAACCTCCGAATAGGACCATTCGAAATCCTAGAGGAAATAGGAAAAGTAAACTATAAGTTAAAACTCCCACAAGGTATGCGAATCCACCCTGTCTTTTACAAGAAACTCCTAGAACCAGCACCTCTAGATACTAAGCTAGTAACGGATATAGAGCTCGAAGACGACGAGTATAAGGTCGAAGAAATTAAGGACCTACGGAAAATCGGTAGTCAGCGGAAGTACTTAGTCAAGTGGTAAAGATGGCCTGAGAGCCATAACACTTAGGAACCTAAAGGAAACCTAACGAACTGCAAGTCACTGGTACGTAAGTACTATTAGAAACATCCACGGAAGCGAGAATAGGATTCTCGTAAGAAAGGAAGAAGTTAAGGGATAAGGGATTATGAGAAGAAGAATAATTAGCCTATAACCAGCCCAGGTCAGTCGAGGGTCCAGATAGCGATAGTCCAGTTGACAGAGGATCCGTACCAGGGGCTAAGCTCCCCTCAGCCTTTTCTTTTGCACGATCTTAGAACGCAAGAACGGCAAGATCGCGACGAGCGAACAAGCGCTCGCGAGATTTTACCTCCAGAAGTTCACGACGAAGACGCGCGGCGTCCTCCTCAGCTCGAGCAACCTTAAGCTCCTTTTGCTCACGCTCTTGCTGAATTTTCTCCTACTCTTCCTCAGAAATAAACAAGCTACACTTAGCTTTTACAGAAATATAACTAGCGTAACGGCTAGTTGCAGTGTCTATGAAATAACGAAGGTTCTTCTCTTTATAACAAGAACAGCGATAAGAAGTCATCTCATTCCCTTGCTCTATTATATAATCAGTACGGGAATAACGCTCTTCGTTCGACTTTTAAGCGCGAACACGGGTACGGGAAGACGGGACCTTGGGCATGGTTAGAAAGGCTGGAGTTAGGAAGGAACGGTTACAATAGCCCGGGGCCTACCGACCTTATATACAGCCAGCGATTCAACACGCGGCACGGCGAAACGATATTCTAGGGTATCGGGACGATAGCCCTAAGAAGGGAGGTAATGTTACAAGTAATAAGAAGGATTCTTTCCTTGACAAATGACGAGATGGCTGCGAGCCTAGGGACGTCCACGTTAAAAGGTAATGGACATTGCGGGGCTCGGAGTCACGTGATGTGCCATCCCGCCAAGGCTGGCCATCCGGGATGGCAGTGCATAAAGGGATGGCAGCGCCATCCCAGACCTCCCGCCAAGATGGGATGGACGGGATGGCAGGACTGGAAGCAATGAGGATATAAGGATGGATGGATTTCATTATTACTCTCGTTGTGGTCAACTCAAATTGTACTTTCTTACTAGTATCCTTACTTAACAAGATTGTCACAAGTTAGTCTATTAAATAGATTAGTCTTGTTAAACCCTCCTTAAGCACGCCAACTCCACTGCATCGCCAGACAAGCCTCACGGAACACTAACGTAATACTCACCTGCCTTAGTGCGGACCAGGATAGAGAAGTATAGACCCTTACCCCGTGTAACACTTATATTCCTTAAGCTTTTATAGGACCTTCTTAATATGCTTAATATATTCTTCGCGTGTACTACTAGAGTATACTAGTATATTATCTAGATACGCAGTAATAAAGATTCTAAGGTATTTATATGTTACACGGGGTTGGGTGCTGATACTTCTCTAAGCTCGGTCCGGGTTAGGGCGAGTGAGATGGGATGAAGAGCTCCGTGAGGTTGTCTGGCGATTCGTAGTGGAAAAGAGTTATGGATGTAACCGGGTTTGACAACGCTAATCTATTGGATAGACTAACATGTAACTATCTTGTGAAGTAACAATACTAGTAAGAAAGTACAATTTGAGTTGACCACAACGAGAGTAATAATGAAATCCATCCATCCTTATATCCTCATTGCTTCCAGTCCTGCCATCTTGCCCATCTCTCCTTGGCGAGATGGTAGAGATGGCACTGCCATCTCTCGGCGTCCTGCCATCTCAGATGGCTGGCCTTGGCGAGATGGCACATCACGTGACTCCGAGCCCCGCGATGATCCATTACCTTTTGACGTGGACGTCCCTAGGCTTTCAGCCGTCTCGTCATTTGTCAAGGAGAGAATCCTTCTTGTTACTTGTAACACCTAGCTGGTTAAGAAAGCTAAGAAAAGATTAGCATTATAGATCTTAGAGAGACTGAGATGATAATTAGCTATGATTAGTTATTAAAGCACAACCCTGCTATTAATTAGTAAAAGAAGATATTACTTAGTTGAGAGCCTGTGTATAAGGTTACTAGAGTACAACATAAGACACGCCTAACGAATTAGCGCGTAACCTAGGATAGGAGATTTAGCATAATCTTACCGTATAAGATCGCGAGAATCTATGTGAAGAACCCTTAGAATGTAGGAGTTATTTGGATACGGCAGATCGCGACTACGAAGGAAGAATTGGTACTATAGTTAGTAATTCTAACAGAATACTAAACGGACGAGTTTAGAGAACTATTTGAGAAAAATAAGGTAACGGACTTAGCAGACTATTAGAATTAGGATTACGAGATTATCTTTAATAAAGGAGCTAAGTTAAGCCTAGGACTAATATACCCTATAGCGCCTAAGCATAATACTAAGCTGTGGGATTACATCTAAAAGAACTTAAAAAAGGGATTTATCTAACTAGGATTAGGCCTAATAGTCTTACCTATCTTATTCGTAAAGAAATCTAATAGGAAGTAGTAACTATATATCGACTTTAGAAGGTTAAACAGCGTAACTTAGAAGAACTAATATCTTTTACTACTTATTATAGAGCTTATAGATTAACTCTAGAGAGCTAAGTAGTTTACGAAGTTTAATGTTTGGGAAGGATTTTACTAAATTAGGATTAAAGAAGGTCACGAATAGATAATAGCGTTTAAAACGAAGTACGGACTCTTTAAGTATACGGTTATACTGTTTAGATTAATAAATGCGCCGGTAACCTTTTAATTAGTTATTGTTATGGGCGGAGAGGCCTAGCGAACGAGTATGCTTCTACCTATTGTATAGAAGCTAAAAGATGAGAAAAAGAGAAGATAACTAAGTATAGACTTCTCTTATACCTACTCGCTTCTGATTACGTGTCCGTATAGAAGGTATATCACGTGGTCGAAGATCACGTGATCCCTTTAGTAGAGATTACGGGCGCAGCCCTTTATAATACTCCCCTCCTCTACTCATACGGACATGTTTGCGTTTGTTTGTTTTCCTAGGAGCACGTGGCTGCCTAACTTGCGGTAGAGTAGTGGCGTTTGTTTACTCTAGTGGAGGAGGATTTCCACGAGAGCAACCGCTCCCTCCGTACGATATATAGAGCTACCGTCCCTCTCTTCTCTAGCTTTTCTTTCTCTATACTAAATTAATTTAACTCTACTTCTATAATAATTTCTTCTTTCTTTCTAACTATACTCGTACGATGCCGCCTAAAGCGCAACTACCCCCTCGCGGTATTTGGGCCAACGCAAATACTAACAGTTTGCAGTTTTGCACTAGCGGTGGCCCTAATAATAATATTAATAACGTGGCTAACTAAATCTTTGATGCTGCCTATTGAGCTCTAACTCGTATAACGCTAGGCGCTATACTGCTAACTTTTAATATGCTGGGCGCTGTCGACTTAAACGAGTATCGTGTCTAGTTTATCTTTGATTAGCGCGTTGTAGATAAGCTGCGCCGTATTTACGCGGTTGCTTCTGTACGTAATACTTCTCTAACTTCTTATACGGCTGGTCTTAACTTGCGTAGGAGAACGTTCGCCGTGTTTTTAACTACTTCTGTCGCCCTCGCGGTAATAGTCCGTACGATGCTGTCTTCGGCCCGGGCTCTCGCGACTACTCGCCTGTGATCGTACGTACGACTATTACTGCTCGGCAGATTCTCACCGGCCGTCCGCCCTACCTTAAGGCCTTTGTTGTGCATAGCTGCGGCGCTCTCAACGCGGCTTTTTGTATGAATAATTGCGCTGCTGTCCTGCGAGGCGAGAAGGAGTTTACCGCATTCGCTGGCTGCGTGTTCATCGCTAGTGAGTGGGGTGGGGCCTGCTCTAACTGCGTCTGGCAAGATCATGGAGCTCATTGCAGTGTCACTTAGCAGGCAGTCCCTCGTACGGGAGGTGGGCGCAAGAGGCTCCCTGGTGGTTCTAGTAGTGGCAACCAGCGTGGTCGTCTGGCTGCGGGTGGTGCTGAGAACCCTCTGCTCGTGGAGTAGGTGGGACTGCCTTTGCTAGTTTCTTCTGAGTCGTCCGTTAGGTTGTTGTCTGGGTTGGGTGTGGGACAACTATGACTGTAGGGCCGTAGTGTTAGCGAGATGAGCGGCGGGCTCCTATGTGGGCTCGTCGTAGCCCACCTAATGAATAAGGTATTCTGTTTGCCTGCGCCTTATTCTCTCGTCCGTGATGTCTTGTACTGTCCACTCTAAGTGTTCTTTATCGCTTTTGTTATCTCGTACGACTATAGTAGCTGGATTAGTGTCGTCCGTCTGCTGTGATGGGAATGGATCGTCAGCCACTGGATGGAGCTTGTCTATATGGTAAGTTTTCGTTTCCCACGGTACGGCTAACTCCACCCAGTAGGGATCTCGTACGCGAGCAATCTGGAACTTAGCGCTTTTCTAATTAAGTTTCTTACTACTCCTTGTCGTACGAATATCCCGTAGGTCTAACTATACCTAGTCTCCTACGCGGTAGGTGGGCGCCGGTCTATAGGACTTATTAGCTTGTCGTTCTTACTCTTGTTAGGCGTACGTTATAGTAGATATAGCTCAGTTGGCGGCATTACTAATCGTCCGAACGATATCCTTTACAGCTTCTCCCACTTCGTCGGCTTGCGTGACCGTTTGGGGCTGAGAAAAAGGAGTATTATAGTAACCGTGGTAGAGGAAAAAGGGGGAAACTCCTATTATTGTGTTCGTACGAGAGTTGAGTATAAGTTCTAGAAGAGGGTAGAGTTGTGCCTAGTTATCTTGATTATAGTTGCAGAAGATCTGTATTACTACTTCTATATCGCTATTAGCGCGCTCTGTTGTTCCGTCCGTTTGTGGGTAGTAGGCTGTTGAGAGATTTCTCTGGATACTAAGTAGCTGGCAGACTTGTTTCTAAAGAGAGCTGGCGAATTGGGGGCCGCGGTCGGACGTGATAGACTGTGGGAGGCTGTGGTGCCGGTAGACTTCCCGTACGAAGGCCTAAGCGACGTTTGTTGTCTTAATCTTGTCTATAGGGATTAGTACGACGCCTTTGCCTAGTCTGTCCTTCACTACTATAAGGTTGGTTTTTCCTTAAGAGCTAGGTAAACCCGTAATAAAGTCGACTGTTAGATGTTGCTACGTACGACTAGGAATAGGTAATGGTTTTAAGTACCTATGTTTCCCGTCCCTCTAGGGGGTGCTTTTCCTGCAAAGCTCGTAATTCTGTACGTAATGGCGTACATTGGTGCTTATGTTTGGCTAATACCATTCTCTTGCGATAATTCTGTATGTTTCCTCTCGTCTGGGGTGTCCTGTTAGTAGAGATAAGTGCGTAGTCTGGATTACTCCTGTCTGGAGTGGTTCGTATTTAGGTACCTATACTCTATTACGCTAGCATAACTTGTCTTCGGCGTTGATTGTGCAGTCGCCTAAGGAGATAGCAATCTTACGGGAGCTTGGGAGAGATCGTTTTCCTTCCCGTATAGCCGCTCTTATTTCTTGGTATAGAGAATCTTCTTGTACGGCGCTATCCTAATAGGCTCGTATGAGCGTAGGAAAATGTGGTGGTCGCGGCAGTGTAGTTGACACTAGGGGAGAGACGTCTTCTTGAGTGTCGGTAGTGTCTCGTATAGGTATAACCGTAATACTTTCCTGGGTCTGGGCTGGCACTAGCATGATGAATTCTCTTGATGCTGAATGCTCGTCTAGGTCGTCCTTCTGTATATCTTGGTCTCGCCTAGATAAGGCGTCCGCCCGTACGTTCTCCTTGCTAGGGCGGTAGCGGAGTTTCATATTTGGGAAGCGGGCTAGTTCTAAGTTCTATTGTACGTGGCGTTCGGAGAGCTTTTGCTTATAGGTGAAGTATTCTAGGTTCTTATAGTCTGTAACTACTTCGAATTCTCGTACGCCTCGTAATTTAGCGTCCTACTCTTTTAGGCAGTAGATTACCGCTAGTAGCTCCTTATCATGGATTGGGTAGTTCGCTTTATGTACTAGTAGCTTTCGGGAGAAGTAAGCTATCGTATGTAGGGTACTTTCGTCGTCTTCTTGCAGAAGTATAGCACCTATTGCTTGTCTAGATGAGTTATACTCTACTACTGTCTGTCTGTCTAGGTTAAAGGCAGCTAACACTTCGTTAGAGAGAAAAGCTTCCTTAAGAGCGGCAAAGCTTAGCTCTTAGTCTTGGCCCTATTCGAATTTAGCGTCTTTTCTTGTTAACTGTATGAGAGGTTCTATAAGTCTTAAAAAGTTAGGGATAAATCTACGATAGAAATTAGCGAACCTGAGGAACTCTCTTACGCCTCGTACGGTAGCTGGAGCTTCCTATTCTTGAATAGCTCTTGTCTTCTTAGTGTCTATTGAGACGCCCTTCCCTGCTTTAAGGATAAATCCTAAGTATTTCGTACGTTGGACGTTAAATTCGCACTTCTTAAGTTTAAGCTGTAGTCCCGTAGCTTATAGACGCTTAATTACTTACTGTACGTGGTCGTAATGTTGGGATATTAAGCTATCCGTGTAGATTAGGATATTATCTAAGTAGGCGGAAGTGAAATTGTCTAGAAACTCGCGCAGTGTCTAGTTAATATAACGTTAGAATGTGCTAGAGGCGTTAGTAAGCTTAAAAGGAGTAACTAGCTACTCGTACGATCTAAACCGGGTGCGGAAGGTAGTTATCTATTTCTAGCCCTCCGTGATCTAGATTTTGTGGAAGGCAGCCGTAATATTAAGCTTTATATACTACTTTGCTCGTCCGACTTAATTTAGCGTCTTACGTATAAGGGGCAGAGGATAACGGTCCTTATAAGTTAGTGCATTTAGGGCGCGGTAGTCTACGCAGAATCTTAGTCCTCCTCTAGGTTTCCGTACGAAGAGGACTAGTAACGCGGCGGGAGAGTTACTTACGCGGATGAACCCTTTCTTAAGTAACTTATATAGTGTCTTACGTAGTACTAGAAGTTTATCTCTAGATATATTGTAGAGAGGTCTGTATAGGACTTCTGGTAGCTTCCTATCGTCTTTAGAGATTAGTTCGATCTTGTGGTTAACGTCTAGACCTTATAGGGGCGGGAGCTCGTCTCCTTTCTTTAGGGTAAATAGAGAGGCGTACTGTCGCAAGTATAAAGAAAGCGACTTAGTTACTTCTACTATAGTTAGCTACGTCTTCGGACGGAGAGCTTTCTTAATATCTTAGAGACTAGTAGTAAAGACTTGTAGAGCTGGCTGTTTTCAGCTTTATTATACGTGAGCTTAAAAGGCGGCTGCTGAGATTGCAGCGAAGTTCTATAGTGGTTTAGTTCTCTCTATGCTAGGTATAGAGAGATTATAATGTAGAAGAAGAAGTATTCGTCTAGCCGCATTAATAATACCTCCTACATCTTCAAGCTAGGTCTTCCTTAAAATAATGTCGTACTCGTACGTGGACGTGGTAATAAAAGCGGCTACTTTTCACTTAATTCCTCCAATATCTATAGTAAATTAAGTAATAGCTCGTACAGTACTTTTCTAGTTATTAATACCTTTAATTTCCCTAGTAGGGATAGATACGCGCGGTAAGTTAAGTTCTTGTATAAGTCTTTTATATACTATCGCATAAGTGCAGCATCTATTATTAATTATAGTAGTAGCGTTTTTTAAAAGATTAACGATTATATCTATAAATATTAGCTAAGTAGGCTTTAGTTAGTAAAGTAGCTCTTAGATAGGTCGTACGACCTGCTTAACCTGCTTTAGCTGCCCTAGTCAGCGTTTTTAGACTAGAGCTCCTCTTTTCCCTCGTCCGAGCTTTCATCTTCTAAGGTAGCAGCTAGGACTTTTATCACGGTCTCTAGCTTGCGCGTACGTTTTAGGACTACTGCTTTACACTACTGTACGAGGTGGCCGTGGATGCTATAACGTAGACAGCTGCCCTTCTCCTTACGTTAAGTAATTTAGCTTTATATACTTTAGTACTTATTCCTCGTACAGGAACGCATAGCGCCTATATTAGGCGTCTAGTCTATTTCGTCTACGGCAGCTAGGGTAGACGTAGAAAGAGAGGTAGAGTAAGAGGGCGCGTTGGATGAGAGTTAGTTAATTACCTTGAGATTCTTCTAAGTGTTCCTAAGTCGATGAACAAAGGCGTCGTACGTCTCGTTTAAAGGAGGCTAGTACCTAGCTTAGTAGCGTAGTAGCTTTCTATTAAGAGAATTCTTAAGATAGTTAATTTTTAGCGCGTTATCGTCTTGTCTGAAACTAGCTTTGTTAAACTTTAGGTTAAAGGCTCGTACGTAGAGAAAAAACTCGCCTTTTCCTTGCTTAGTTATATGGAGATACTATAGAGCTTTTTACTTAATTAAAGAGTCTTTAAAGAACGCGTTTAGTTGCTTCTAAAGCTTACTTAAGCTAGGTGATATATTTCTGCTTATAAAGTCTTATACGTAAGCTTATAATGCTAAAAAGGCTAGTCCTCCCATCTAGGAGATTATATAGTAAGCTTAGTAGAACTCTATAGAGTAAGCTAGGTAATCTACTAATAGTTTTATATAGATCTGCATCTTCTACTGCGTGTATTCTTCGTGTAAACCTTTCTTAAAGATTCTAATATTAGAGAGTCTAGCTTTTCTAAACTCTTATATGGGCGTAGTCGTAGCTAGAGGCTGGCTAGAAGGTTACTAACTTTCTATACTTAGCGTAAGATTAGGAGTCTGTGCGTTAGGGGTAGCTTACCTCTATACCGTACGGAGGAAAAGGGCTTTCATCTCTTAGAGTTCTTCTCATACGCCTTCAGCGTTCTTAAGTCTTATAGCTATCTAGTTTAGGTTTCGTTGGAGTAGATTATTCGTTGTATTTAGTTAGCTCTAGCTTTCTGTAAGCTCCTCGTACGTTAGAGGCCTTAGTAGGTCGTTACTAGGTTCTAGGTTTGGTATAGGCTTATGTAGCTCTATCATTATATCTTACTTATTTTGCATTCTTAATTCTCTCTCGCTCCGTACGAGAGAAAAGAGTAAGAGAGGTTAAAGTGATCTTTTAGCTTATATTATGAGCGGAGA